CTGTGTTTCGAAGGTCAACCTGCGACGGCCAAGAAACGGCCGCGTTTGCTGGACACGTGGCTCGTGAATGTTCCGTCACCGCTGACTTGGGAGAGCGCGTCGAGCATGTTGGTGCGGGGAATGCGGACGTTGTCAAAGAGAATTTTCCTGTCCACACAATAACTAAAAGAGATGCCATGAATTCACGAGTCATATCAGGCGGTGGAGGATGGACGGACGGACGAGTACCCGTTGTCGACGCCGTTGCAGCCCATCTTGTGGCCCATTGTCCATCATTATGTCGAATACTTTGACACGTCGTTGTCATGTGTGAATTGCATTGTCATGCACGAATTGTCCAACACTCCAATCTGTCATTACTTCAAAACTTCATACATTTCTAAAACTAATATACCTTTATCATATCATATTTTCAGCGAAAGATTTTGGATTTTGTTAAACTGAATTCAATACTCACTTCAAGTATATATTTTGGCGGATCACTGATCGACTGTGCAAATTGCTCAACTTTCTAAATTAATTGGAGAAACATGAACTCTCAGATCCGATCGGTTTTGAATCCTTGTGAAAGCACTTGAAATTGGCTATCAGAATGTGTGTCCATCTTTGTTCTAGCACAAATAGCCGCTGAGTAATTCAAGAAGGAAAAAATCCAAATTTTGGCGGATCACTGATCGGTCACGTATATCTAAAAATAGACATCCGGATAATGTGTAGAACGCGCTGGGGCTCGCGCTAAGAAGTGCCGTGTTACGAAGCCACGGCGGCCGTGCTGGGCGACGGATGGACCTGTGGCAAGTTCGCCGGGGACATCACGTCCTCCACCCCCACTTTGTCGTCGTTGCCTCCCATCGACTCGTTCAAGTTGTACGTGGAAGTGCTGTCGACGGCGTCAGCACTAGTGTCTAACGAGAACAAAATCTTCAAGGGGGTGCCCAAAGCGTGGCCGGCAGTCGGTCCGTTCCTCACCGATCGCGTCGGGTTTGGTTTTCCGATCCTGTCGAAATTGACGCACCAAGGCCCCGTCCAGGCGATCGCGGGGGTGCTCGCCGACAACGTCGACGCTTCAGTGTCGGTTACAGGGCTCGAGGTCGAAGTCGCTGCCGCCATTGTCTTCTGCACCCAGGTGCAGAATGCGCCCCTTCTGGACGATATGACCACCGTGGCTCGCTTCGTCCACACGAAAGATAACGTTACTATGGTTGACGAAGGAGCTTGGGTCAAGGCATTTGGTCAAGACGATAACGTGGCAGCGTTTGCTGTGGGGTTGGTGGAACATACACTCTTGCGGGTGGCGGCATCGCCCAGTGTTATGCCGACCGACTTGTTCGACGCGTGCAACGTGCCTGAAGTGACGTCGGCACACCTGGCGGAGATGGTCAACTGGCTCGCGGTGCAGCAAATGCTCCATCACTCTTTTTACGACGTCTACGGGAACTAGTCTCAGGCTAAACAAGCTGCTAATGTTACCGGTAGTATTTGAAAATTGATCTAAAATGGCTATCATTCCGAGGTTACTGTAGGTACGAATTTCATGGCCCCGTTCAATCGAATATCGCCGCCCGAATCGGGCACCAATATCTCCCATTGGTCAATCCGAAATTATTTGTCGCTGATTGGCTACAATCCATGCTCGATTTTCACCGGAAAGGCGAAGTGGATACTAATTAGCCAATCGGCATTGTTTGTGCTCGATTGAAAGTGAACGAACCATTGAAAATTGAGAAATTTGAAGAAAATCTACAATATTTCACACATTATTCCTTTTACTTCATGCTAAGAGTTTAGCCCTACGTTGATGAGACCCTTGGCGAGAAACAAGTCTTAACAGTGGAAAGATTGATTGTCAAGCCAAGTGATCCAAATAAATATTTACGGTGAATCGAGCAGAGCATTTTTGGCTTTGACCATATTCCGTCGAGCAAAGTACAAGGCAATGCCAAAACAGGCAACGGCCCAAGCCATCCACGCTAGCGGAAACATCATGGCTTGGATGAGTCCATCCTTGTCTTGATGGCACTCTGGGTTGAGCACGACGACGCCGTCCACAAGTACGCTGTTGCAGTGAGGAGCCCAAGCGTCCTTGATGTAGCCCATGATGATGGGGGCGGGGACATCCCCCAGCACATGCTGGGACAGGGAATTCAGCCCCACGGCGAGGGCTTGTTGTGATGGGTGGACAGAGTGAAACATGGCGATCATCACGACGGGCGAAATGGTACCGGCGATGACAGTTGTGAGTCCATTCCACACCAAGAACCATGTTCTGTCAGGCAAGGCAGCCAGCGAGAGGAGCATGGCCCCTAGCCCTAATGGAAACCCCAATGCCATTTGACGGACAGCATAGTATTGTCGCATGTATGGGGCACCACGGCTCGTCCAATCCAGCACTACGCCCCCCAGTAGTGTGCCCACCAAGGTTGTTGCAACTACACACATATAATATATTGTCAGAGCTCGTGGTGAGCCCTGTACAAGGCTACTTGCCGATCATACAAGTATATAGCACATACCTGTTAGGAACCCCATCGTGACATTAGCATCCGTTTCCGACGAAAATACCCCCAGGCCCAGGAGCAACAGCGTGATAAAAATGCCCAGCCCCGCACTCGAAAACATCATGGCTGCCACGCCAAGCGATAGCCACGCAAACGTAGCGTTGGTACAAACGTCCCAAACTTCCCCGAAAAACGATTTGTGTGACTCACTTTCTGTCGCCAACAAGCTTTGGGATTCGGTGGGGTTGTCGTTTCGGATGCGATTGAACTCGTCGGGAACGCCAAAGAAGCAAAGCCAAAGCAACGGCACCATTGCGAGCCCCTCCATGGCAAACACCGAGTCCCAGCCCCAAGAAGTCGCAGACAGCGTTGATGCCGCGATATTACCCGCAATCGCTCCCACGGTAGAAGAGATCATGTACACACCCAACCACATCGTCTGGAAGTTGCTCGGGCTGTGGTCGTTGATGAAGGGGGGCGCAATGCACTGGAACGAGGCTTCCCCCACTCCGCTGAGGAATCGACCCAGAAGTAAAAGTTCAAAGCTGTTGGCGGACTTTGAAATGCTAGAGATCGCCACGGCAACCACCCACACGGCCAGCCCAATGGAAATGAGTCGAAACGGTTTCGTGGTCATCGCGAGGTAGCCAAACAGCGGGATCGAGATGGCGAACGTGGTCACAAACGACGATGAGAGCAGGCCAAGCAGTGCGCCAGGGTCGGTGGTGTTGTGTGAGACTTGGATAAAGTATTGGAACTGGGCCGGGGCGCCCGAAGTGATGCCTCGGTCAAAGTAATTGACAAAGTTGATTGCACAAAGCAAGACGAATATCCACGGCGGCATCGTCGTGGACGTCATTGGCTCAGACGGCATGGATTGATTGGCAGGTTGAGCTTTGATAAGTGAGCCAAGTCCAGTGAATCGAAGGGGCTTTTGTCTGTTTCAAAAGTTGTGACAACCTCTATTTGGTACCCAAATCAAAGTACAAACACTCCATTTCCCGTCAAACGACAAACATTCTTGCAAAAGTGAATGTAATTTCAGCGACATGAGACACAGCTGTCATGCTTGTACACTACTATCAGTGGTACTACGTCGTACTACCCGTAGTAATACGAAAGTAACAAAAAAGTAGCTCTCGGTTATAGACTGTAGTTTAAAGTCTATGATGTTGTCATTTCTTTATCAATTTTAGATTTGAGGCATCCGCTTATCCTGTTCTGTCAACTCAATGTCTTTTTATAGTTAACATGTAGTAAGCTTAAATATTAAGCTGCGGCAACGAAAATCGCCCCGCATGAGGTGTGAAAAGTTGGTGGCTTATAGATGGCGTGCACCATAGAAGTTGAAAGGAATATTAGTACTGTACTAGTACACCATTACCCTATCACGTTTGACATTTTATCCAGTCAATAATGTGGTGATAAAAAATACTGCTCCTACTACTACTACTTAGTATTAATACGTCAAGTTATTAATAGTACTAACTGTACTAACGTTAGTATAAAACAGTTCGAAACAAATTCGAGTGGTGCATAAAACGCGCAAAGTTCGGATCAATGTGGTTTTTGTTCCAATCAAAATGGAAAGAAATACTACACGGAAGTACTATTAATACGTAGTACCAGTATACTATACTAGTAGTGAATACTTCGAAGTAGTAGTGAACATTTAGGGAATTTCCACTCTCCACCCATCTCACCCATCCTCCAGAGAACGTGCGATAGAGCAAATACAGTACTACTTCAATATGAAATAAACTATGGCACTAGATTTGCACCAGATTTGCACCACATTGATCCGAATTTTTGTTCATTCCAACCCTTGTCAAAATTTTATTTTATATCCAAATCACATAGATGGAAAAAAAGACCAACTTGATCGGGTAATGGTGTAGTATTAATAGCACATTCTACGGAATTCGTAGGCCAGAACTTGACTTTTGTATGCAATCGTAGGCGCA